AGCTGGCGAGACTCGAACGCGATCACCCGATCTCGCCCCTCGGCGTTTTCTTGCAGCAGTGCACAACCAATGACAATGTCCGAAGCGTCACAGACGACACTAAAAGGACAATCGGGGTCTGGCACACCGTCAGTATTGGTGCATGAAGAAGGCTGCCTTTGGCCCCGTCAACAGCCACCCGATGTTCGGTGTCCCAACACCGTTCCACATTCTACTTATGGGATTTGGCAATGACCGTACCATTTCTGCGTAGCTCTCGCGGTACTTGTGCAAGTAGTTGGCGAGGCCAAGCCACTTGCGCAAGTCCTTTAGATTTCTTGAAATCGGCCCGTCCACAATGGCGCTGACCTTAGCAGAATCTGCTCGATGCCACGTTTCCCTACGAAGCACCCTAAAAAGGGAATTTCTTCTGCGCCAAAGATGCACTTGTCTGCATTAGTGTACAGCTTTTCGTGCGCATGCACTTGAGTACCGCTCTCCAATGGACAATGTTGGTTTTCCTCATCTATCCCCCCCGTGCCCCACACGACTGTGGACGAAGATGTCATCGAAGTATGTCTGTGCATACGCCCGGCGAGGGCTGACCAACTGGGTCACGAGATTAAATGTTGCTGGTTCATTTTACAGCCTTTTGGGCATCACTAGCCAGACCCAAACGGTGTACTCACCGCTGTCAGTGGAATATCACTCGCTCTCATGAGCAATTGGTATTACCCATCGACCAAGTCGAGTGCAATGTACTTTGTACATCTAGTTTTGTTGTTCTGGAAAACATTCTTCCAAGAAATCGGCGTCTGTGCCGGAATGGTGGCGGCGTTGAGCTTATTGTAAACACTGACGATACGCCACTTGCCGTTCGGCTTTCGGACACAAAAGTTGGGTGTCGAATGGGGGGACTTACTCTGACGCACCTTTCCTGCGTCATGTTTTGCACAGAAGAAGACGTCAATGATGTTACACTGCTCCTTCGGCTGGGGCCATTGGCGTGTTACACAGTATTTGGTTCCCGAAACCAGATCAATCTCATGACGTACACTCGGTCTGGTGGTAGGCCCGACGGCGAGAAACGACGTCCTGAAATCTCGTTAACAAAAGATAGTACGGATCTGGGGGATCCTTCAGTCAACGACCCACTTCGTGCGTTCAGCACCCTTTTAGTTTCTTCCAGAACAGCTTCATCCAAAGCGACAACGACTTACTTTCCTCGCTCGGTCTTATAAGGACCACCTCGGCTAAATTGTCTGCCTTCAAGGCATCTCCAAACTCTTAAAAGAACATCTCGTCCTGCTCGAGAAGAGCACCCACCGCGGGAAAAGTATCAAGGGTGACGCTGCCGTCTTCCTCTCCCGTCATACCGCTAACAAGAATTTATTGCTGTGCGCTATCGCCTACGGTCGACACAACCTGGGTCAGAGTCGACGCCTGGAGTCTTGCAAATATCTTACGGCGTCGCCGTTGCCTCTCCACAGTGGTTGAACATCTCGGCGAGACCAGTAGGAACATGCATTCAGCGTCGTCCAGTGTCCCCGGTGCCTTGATGTTACTAACAACATCCGACGAAGAGCTGCCAGAATCGCAGCCTTCATCAAGTTGATAACATGCCACTCCACAAGCATCTAAAGGGCCTTGCCCAAAATGCCTTGGACCTCGTCCGACCATGCCACTCCTGGCATGCAGCACTGGTCCGTTACCTCAGTGGGTTACGTGCCACTCCACGTTCAGCCCGCGATCCACGCTCGGGACTAATATCCAATACACCTTTGGTGTTCGACAACTCGAATACTCCGTTCTCCGGCACGTAGAGTATCCCGGTCCAGTGCCCTCGCCAATAGGGCTTCTGCCTTTCAGCAGAGGTGGATCCATGACTCACCAAAGCTCCACAAGGAGACGTACGCATAGCCTTCATGGTTTTCGATATCCAATCGATCCATGGCTCATGGTGTTCCAACCATGCCATGTCAAGGTTGAATTTAACTCTAAAACTTAGCAGCGCTCCACGCTATCAAAGTCAAGAAACTTAATAACGAGGTCCACAAGAACCCTCGGCACCATGACACATGTCTCCGTTGCTAAGCGAACAGTGACGGCGTCACTTATTTGCGTTTTCAGCGCTTCAGCATACAGCTGACTTCCTTCGATCGTGGAGCTTCGAGCATAATTGATCGACGCCCCGAGATCAATAAGGATCTACAATGGCTTCTCAAACCCCTCCATAGTCGCTTTCACGACCAGCAAGCCTAGCTTGCATACACGTTCCGTGTTCAAGGGCACACAGCTCTTCGGAGCTGGACCCTGCAGCCCTCTACGTCCGTGAGGCTCAACAGAACTGAGTTTGTCCCCAGTAGGTTGCCCCGCGCCTACTGAGTTTTGTCGTTTCCTCGCGACAAACCAGACTGGTCAGAAGCAAAACGTCGGTTTGATGAACCTTGACGTGCCTTGCGCAGGGGACAAACAGTCCGAAGGTGACGGGTGTCTCCGCAGACAAGACATAGTTGGGTCTTCGAGCGCTGCTCGGCAGCTCGGAGCCCTGCCTCCTTTTTCTCAGCATAGCTGAGATCCATAAGCTCAGGACCGCTTGGCGAGCTATTATGATGTAAATTCCAACCAAGTCGTGCCGACTTAAAGTAAAATTCGGCATTCAATTCCACATTCACTGCTTCTTCAAAAGGAGACGGATGCACACGGAAAACTCTCATTCTGGCCACACCAGTGCAGAGGCCCTCCATAAAGACGGTCATTTTGACCGCCTCGGAAAGAAGATTGACTGCCATCCCGGCAATGAGAGTACGCAAATCTTGGACAAGTCCCCTGAATTCCTTCTCGTCACTCGGGCGGCAAGAAAACGCGATCGCACGCGATACGCCTAGTTGGCGGTGAGAACACTAAAAAAGCTGTAGTTTCCGTTCCGTCCAGGAGGAGAATGCCGTTTCAACTGAAGTACCGCACGACAGTGCCCATTTTCGTGCTCGGCACCCGAGCTTGAAGATAGCGAGCGCCACGCGCTGTTGCTCGTTCTGGAGCATGGCGGATGTCATAGCCATTTCGGCCTAAAGGATAAATACGTGGAAACTAATGAGGTCGCAAACAAATGTTTGACCGCAACCCTAGTGGAAGTCTTACGAGCATAGCATGCGCCAGCGATTCGGCTTTCGTATAGACCCAGTTTTTTCAAGCAGCAATCACATATTACTTGAGTACTTAATTACACAGCAAGCTACGAAGACAGTCGCAACTCCGACCTGCATGCCGTACCCGACTATCTAGCTGACGTGTTCTCCGATGACAGCGGCCACAACGACTTCTGAGCTTAGACTGGACACCTGCGCTCTCTTCGAGAACGACATGGCCCGACGTTTCCGTCATTTTTACGCCTCAGATCTCCTTCACCATCTGCATACTCCGTTCCAGTTTTCTACGGCTGAGAGTACTACGAAACTCCTCCAACAGACTCGCAGCGAAGTTTCACTGAGTAACATTAGCAGAACTAGGTATACCAAACTAATTTTGCCCATCTACAAGCGTAAGATTCGCAACCACTTCAATGAAGCGGCAAGCGGTTTAATTATGTCAAAAGTCTGAGTTTGTTTATCGAAAGCCGCACATCGCGCCAATAGCCTTCAATCATTTATGTTTGTGGGTCTCTCACCCATCTGGAGAGCGAAACGCACGCTCGAAGTTGCTCCAAGAGCGCATTGTCGCAGGTCAATTTACCTTAGGAGAATCACATTCGGCTGTATCATCAGCAATTTGAAAGGTACATACACTCAATTAGAAATGTATCGAAATATTTTTACTCTGACGAATGTGAGAGAAGAATATGAAAAACCGCTAGCATTGAGAGATGAACACGCGGCCTTCGTCGTCTCACCCATCTAATGGTGATTTAAGATAGTCTTAGCAAAGCAGACGCCGACTCAAGCAATCTTTATAACGTGACATTGCGAGGTACAAAGCGCAACACCGACGTCAAAAAGAGAGCTCAAGACCAATGATTTGACGCTGCAAGCAGTACATGAGGCTTAAAAAGCTATCGTTGACGAACTCTATATACTGCATATAACTTATTGTACTGGCATAGCACCTCGTCAAACACGAGGTGACACAAACTCCGGGAGTAGTAGTACAGTAAAACCTGTCTTAATAAAATTGTTGGGACTGGGGGACAGTGTTTAATTTAGAGAGGGTTTTAAATTAAACAGGTTTAATTTGGACAGGTTCTACTGTATGGTGCCCAACATGGGTCCATATCTTTTGTTCAATTTCTACTGTACGGTGCCCAACATGGGTCCATATCTTTTGTTCAGTTTAGAGAGGGTTTTAAATTAAACAAGTTTGATTTAGACAGGTTCTACTGTATAACAGATATGCTCAGTAAAGATGAAACTGACCCGGTTTTAATTTTTGTCACTTTGCAAAAATTGACGAAGTTTTTAACTCATAAGCGAAGCAAAGAAACTATTAGTAAAGAAACAATGTATCCTAAGAGGCCCTTACTTCTGCTTCTTGGCGGAGCATACGGGCCCAGTCTATGTGATTGTATACAATACGCAAACTCGTTGTGTCAAAGCTCCCTCTCGTGCAGGGTGCACGGCTACCCCATTTATTTGGCTACACGCGTATTCAATTCGACCACAGAGGTTTTTTAAATTGTATGCGCTGTGACGTAGAATGCGAGTGTTTTTTTCCTAATCTCAACTCAACAAGATTCACCTGATAAGCTCAAGTCTATCGTCGATTACGAAGAAATTAGGAAATTGGACGATAAAAGCATTGGTGGCCCAAGGGCCAAAAGTTGTGATAGCTCGCCTGCGGCACTTACCGATTAGGCAATAGAAATCGACAGGAGCACTTCAATTTGGCATCGATGAGAGTTTATGTGGCACTCATCACGTGGTCGCAAATGCAGAATATCCAATCACGACTAACGAAAATCTTTCATTCTCTGAATGAGCCAGATTGAGGTGATCCGTTCAATCTAGTCGAATGGGTACTTGCGTGCGAATTTGTGTGCAAAATGCATTACTAACATGGTAAGTGCTAAAGCGAAAACTGTTGAGGATATTTGAATCGTTAATCAGGCCTCGAGGCGTTCCGAGTTCTTCTTTTATGGGTAGCAACTGATAAAAATTCTAAAAAATTGAGACCTTCCGCGCGCCTGCCTCTACCGTGGTTCATGCGGGTGTGGAATTCAATGTCGAGTGCGCCTTCAAAAAGCTGATTATCATATGGATACTGAAGCTCTACGATCACGCCGAACGTCAAGTGGAAAGAAAAAGATCTCTTAGCCGCCAAGGTATCGGGGAGCTGGCAGATGTTACATCTATGTTATTCCAAGCATCTGCGTACTGTCTACCCCTTCTCTCACGGTATAGAGATACGAAGGATCGACCTCACACGCATGATGCTTGGACGAACCTCTCTCAAGAAGTACATATCCCAGATAGAGGACTGCCTACCAAAAATTATTATTTTCTGCCGTACCTCGTAGGGTATAAGTCAATGACATCAACCCTGAGGGAGCGACTGTTCCTAACAGGCGGGGCTCACAGTCCAGGGTTGCTGACTATCTTCATCACCGTTTCGAAATATGCGAAGCCATCGTACGTGAACATAGCGGCAAAGGGCAATTACAAACAGCGTGCGAAAGTCAACATTAGTAGATAGTATGCGGAGGTATTGAAGAGGCCAAATGTTACTATGACACCGGTTAGGCTACCAATAGTTCATAAAGCTCATAGGAGTTATCCTCTGAAATTCGAGACTCTCAAAAGCAATGAGCTCGGTCATGACCTGAAAGGACCAAAATGTAAGTGCGATGATGGGTTAGTGGTGAGATAGGATACCACTTCTTAATAGAGCGACCGTGTAGGCTTATGGGATGCAAAATTTCACTCCTACCTTCGACACAAACGTTACTAAAAAATTTTTTGAAGGGGATATTTGCATAGATCTGTACGATGATAAAGTCACTGATATGATATGGTTGGTGTCATATCAGCTAAGCTCATCATCCGTCATGAATGACTCTGTCATTGAAGACACTCGCAAAGCACGATATTCTCAAAGTCCATCGAGTCTACCTTTGATCCACTTGGTTTCCTGGACCATTCACCAAATTCCACGACAAAGACCCTACCAAAAGAACAGTGTGAAGGCACTGACAATATTGTTCATGAAGAGTGCGAAGAGAATTTGGTTGACGTGAGAAAATTCTTTAATGCGATGCCGACTTTCTGTATTGACGACAAATGCAGATTGTGCGTGATTATAATGCTAAATGCATCCACCGTTTCAGCAGAAACAGCATTCCTAGAAAAGATGTCGGCAGAGCAGTATGGTCATTATTCGGTCTTTTTATCCAGTTAAAGGATATTCTTAAGTGATCATAATCGACCACTGAACACCACTTATCGCGGTGTTCCGGCCGAGATTGTACGAGTACTACAATGACTGTCGATCAGGCGTCTATCAACGCAATTATCCAAGTCATATTGTGCCTATGGACATACCTTTTTCTGACAAATATAAGTCTATAGGCGTGAGCGACAGAGATAATTGAATGTGAACATTAAGCACTTGCGAGCGGTGCTTGAGTTTATGCACTTCACTTCAAAGCGTTGTATTTCATCATCGACAGTTGTGTTCTTGACGCTAACCAGATGTTCGTTTAAGGTTGCTACATTGAGAACATTGCTTGCGCGCAGATCCCACTCAGTTTGAAACCACTGAATGCCGACCAGTGCCTCTGCCTCTAAACGATTGTTTTGGCCTGGCCAATTTCTTTAAAAACGTCTGTGTAGTTAGTTGAGAGCACCGCCCCTCACCATATCTTAATGAGAATATCTGATAGTGTTGAGGTATGGAAGAAACGGCGGCTTTTAAGGCTGCACCGGTTCGTGTCTATTCGGGTCCGGATCGAGCACTTCATGTTGCCTGTGACGCTTAAGCGATTACCACAGGCTGCCTTATTTCAAGTGGGTATGAATGCTTGATTTTGATTGGTTCTCAACAGCTCAAAGCGGAAAAGAAGAAGTATACAGTTTATGACAACGGATTTATGTGCCCTTGCCTTATTTTTTAACCTGCTTGACTGTAAGCCATCTGCAATCTATATATACTAAGAAATACAGCAGACAATATCGTCACCAAAACTGTTACGGAAAATAACAAGGTGGTTGTCAGGTTTATCTAAGTATATTTTTTACGAGTTAAGGTAGAATTGGGTCGGTATCCGATGTGCTTCCGCATCTCCAGAATAGCAACTATCGCATGGTACGATAGCCACGATGCCAATTACGAGTAGATATGACCAGCAGATAGGCTAACACAGCATGTTTTACGTTGCTGATAGTTTTAGAGAGCAAGGATTCCCAAACCGACATGCTGAATTGATTAATCGCACGTTTGCATTGTAGTGCAACGTCTGGTGGCCCAACATGTTGAAGTGGGAAGGCTGATATGAGTACAAATGCAAAACGTATTGACAGGTGAAATTATTGTATCATGGTTCGGTAGCTTCACTTAATCTGCCGACTTCCGCATAATGATAGCCATCCATGAATTTGGATTGTAATTTCGGTCATCTAACTGATGCGTCAGTATCATGGTAGTGTGGATAAGTGGATATCAACGACATTATTACCTCTAATAATACAGCAGAATTGTTCCTCAAAATATTTTGGTAACAGGGCTTACCAGAGGCCATCGAATCCCAGTTCCCAGCTAAGTTTTGACGATCGTTTGTCAGAATGCTAGGCATCAGACTGGGCATGTGTACCGTCGGCAGTTCACAACACAAAACGCTTTGATCGCGTGATAAAGAAAGTTCGTCGCGGCACTTGTGTGTTAAGTACCGCATAGAAGTAAAATACTGCAGAGAAGATTCAAAGTGCCCAAGGGTCGAGTTTGCGTGACATACCGCAGTGCATGCCCCTACAAGCTTTACCTTTTTTTAGTTTGTCCGTCAACCTCGACTTCCTTCGGCGTTACTTTAAAGTGGCCCAGGACCCTGGGTAAAAGCGGATGCCTGTAAAATTGGACTCATTGATATCAACTACTCCCTAACATTCAGCAGGACCTGAAAAAAAAGGGTCGCCCGTGCGTGAACATATACTTTTTAAAGAAGGCTTAGGTCAAGCGACACGCCTCACCGCGTGTTGCTCGTACCATGCGGACCGTTGACTTACGTAAGAAGGAGGAAAGGTGATTTGACATTTATTATTATAGCCGATAGGCATTAACCTCCTTATCTAATGAGTACTTCCAGTTCCAATGAACATAGCTGTACGGGAACATACATTTTTAAAGGGTGTTAGACACACAAAGTATGTGGTCCACACAACATGTATAATGGGACGCGGCTCTCAGCACTACCCCAATCAAAGGTGGGTTTACCCAAATTCTTCAATTTTTTCTTCAATTCTTCTTCGAATTCCGCGCAAATTCGTCTTCTGCTTTTCGTCACGCTATGTCCAACGCTTGTTAGAGTGACAACCTGCACGCTTGCTCCACATGAGATCTTCTTCATCATCTGGATATTGTTCCAATACCTCGTCCTTCGGCGCATTTGTGCTATGGAGAGCTTAATCGCCACGACGACTTTTACAATTTACATGGTAGATCCACCCTAGAGTTCAACGAATTCTTGAGTCGAATAAGTGCTCGACTGGTTACTCAAATCGCGTATTATTGCACCATCAAATCGATCACTGGTGCTGGATATGAGCCACAAAGCCTCAAGTATGTACGATACGCCCAGCAATACAATCCGGTTAGATCCAGACAATCGACACTCGATTCTGACCATAGGTCCATGCGAACAAATCCGTGGGTATCAACCGTTTGCAAAGCGCGAGAACCGCTACAGACTTGTTGATGGTACGTGATATGCGCTTTTGATTTGCGTATTTGACAGCGCGGATTCGGCGTTTATCCGATATCGAGGATGCTTGTGAAGTACGATCGGTCACCAGTCGGTTTCACGACTAGAGGCACAGAGGGAGAAGAGGAAGGGACAGCAACCCTAAGTATTATCCGTGTTCGGACCCGCATCGAACGCTGCGAGCGATTCTGGGATGGACTTGAAGAATACGAGTCCAAGGCTCCCGCGTTCTCTCGCTCGCTGGATATCCCAGCCATTTCACCAAGAGCTTCTTCCGACCGTGTACGTCCCACTCCGCTCCCACGCTCACAAAGTGGTAGCACTGTTTTTTTGTCAATCTAAAAGAGGGGGAGGCGTTCATAGCGGGCGTCTCCCCAGATTCTTCTGTGGCCGGTCCACAGTTTTTGTTTGCATTTGACGGCGGTGGTGAAGGTCCCCTAGCTGATGAACCAGCGGCTGATCAAGGTGTCTGATCGGATGACGTCAACAAGACAGCGTGTGAAGGATAATCGACAAGTCGTTCGCAAAGTTTGCGATCTTGCATGGCGTTATCGAAACTCGCCCGGGGATGCAATCAAAAATCGAATCCATCAATAAGAGCAGGTTTGCAAGCTCTCCCTCCTGCTGCAGCTACTCCCGATGATGATGTGGGGCCTCCTGCCAAGCGATCTCGCTGTATTTCGGGCGTTCCCGATTCTTCTCGTCATTTTGAGGTCGATGCTGAGGCGAAGACGTCAAAGGGGTTCAACCTACCCCCCTCGTGCCAAAGTCGTGTCTCTCAAGCCACCTTTGAATAAGACTGCAATAAATTCAGGTTGGAAATCGCTTCGTGGCGATAGTAGGGATTGGGAAGCGTTACGTAAAAGATTGACCATCTTGACAAGTTGATAGTGCACGCATACGAACGGCATGACACTATTCAGAATGGCTCGATGAAGCGAGGTGATAGCTTTGGGCCTTCCAAGCTTGAGACCCCATCGTCTATTAGGATCTTAGTACTAAGTAGTATATTATACCCCACAGTAATGATACATTTTGCCTTGACGACCTCGTCTATCTGCGTATTCCTTTTGCAGATATTGCGCATTCGCCATTGCGTCTCGCATTCGTCCCATGACTCTGCTGAATGAGATCAAGGCGTCCTTAAACTTGCGCTTCACATTTGCATCTCTGATTTTATCAATTCAAGAGGCAACGATTTGCCGAGCCCCCCAACTTACATCAGAGACTCGCAAGCCATTCATTGAAATGGTGTAAATTCAGTGGATCGATTAAATGAATTACTCATAGCAAACTTATTAATGGTAACAACGAACTCCATTCTGTACGATTTTCCACACTGAAGCTTCTCAACACACCACCGACCACTCGGTTGGCACAGTCTGTTTGCACATCGGTCTCCGGGTGTACCGCTGTGGACACATCCAAGCGAGCACCGAGAATTCGGGAAAACGCTTTCCAAAAGCCAATCGCGGGTTGTGTATCAAGATTAAAGACGATGGCGTATGGCAACTATTGGAGATCTTTTTAAGCTAATAAATCGTGGTTTTGAAAACGGTGATCAATGGATAATTTAATGAACCTCCGGCATCGATGGAATCGCTATACGGAGCGATGCGAACCATCCTGCTGAGTCTGTAGACAAAGACGAGTACCCAATTGCGGCGACCAGTATTCTCGAAGAAGCCGGAAATCAAGTCGAGATCGACTGATTTTTAACAGTCAGTTGGAACTGGAAGGCTCCACAGTGGCACTTGCGTGTCCCTTGCGCTCTTCACACGCTGACAGACACCGCATGTCTTCACGTATCGTGCAATCCACTTGTACATATGGAGCCATCAGATTGAACGCTGAGAGACTGGTTGGTCTCCTCACGGCCAAAGCGACCGGCCATCGGCGTATCATGCGCCTCGAACACTATCTTGTACTTCAATATATCAGTGAGGGGAACCCCAATCCATGGCTCATGGTTATGTGCACCTTGAGACCATCTTTCCATGCATCAAGATGCAATCTTGATTTCAAGCGACAAGGGATCTTGTCATGGAATTTCATATTAATACCAAGCTTCGGTGCGCTGTGAAGGGACTTGCTCTCCCTCACTTAACCAGCAGCTTGCTTTTGAGGAAAGAACTAATCGTTATACTCACTTGTTCACGCGAGAATGGCACTGCCTAAATACCGCATGTTTGAACCACGTTCACGATCAATTTCGTGTCGAACCGTATATTCGGGCGGAAGTCCAGAGATGGACGTCATCATAATTCTAGTTAAAAAGTGAATAATAAGAATCAGTAGGATCTTTCAAAAATAGCAGATTATCTGCTTGATTCCAATCGCTGTCAAGATTCTTCGAGATCCGAACCATCCATAACTGATAAAAAGTGTAGTCCCGCTGAATCGACTTTCGGCTGTAGCAACACGAACTCCGCAATGTCATCACACTGGGGGTTGTGTAAAGTCATCGAAAGTGACTGACTTGTTTGAGCTGCACCAGCTCTTCCATCTTCAGCAATGGTGCCAAAAGAACATCTGTCCATGTAACTTCGCCACCAATCGTTGCATCCATAATACGCGAACCAGCATATTCGCATGCTATATCTCCATAATGAGGAGTAGAACGCTGGTCTAACTCACCCGCGGACTCAACCGCATCCAGAGCGGGAGTATCAACCTTGCGATAAAAAATGCGTTGAGCCTTCACATATGTATGCTCAACCACAGGACGAGTGGATGCATCATCTTTGTGGTCAGTTTTGCCCACTGACCCACAATCCGACCCAGCCACTGTATGAGTATGAGTATTGGCATACCCAGCCACAGTCGATTTTTTCTAACACCAGTACACACATGTCGACAACATTTTTCTGTCTTGAGGGGGCAATCGGTACCTCTCCCTCATAAATTCCTTTCGTTGGGCAAATAAACATACCCACCACATTTCATTCGCTTTTTTCGAGTAGCCAGTTTTGGGTACTTTTTAATCTATCGACACACCTTTGAGTGAGCACCCGTGGCCAATTCATACGACTCCGTATCTTCCCTAACATGGGTAATCTTAATCGCAGGACATGTGCCAAATTTTCAGCAGCATATGACTGCCCTGCGCTTAAGCGCTTCTTCCGGTGCATTGTAAGTTTGAGATCATTACTTTCAAGCGTTTAAGCTACGCCAGAAAAGCTATCCTAAACGTTTTCGATCGCCAAGCGATCCATGGCTCATCACAGTAAGCCCAAAATCGGGTCATACCATTTGTCCATCTCGAGGTATGTGAATACATTCTTCGAGTTGAAGTATTCAACCTTCAATTAAAGATCAACCGTAATCTTCTTTGCGGTCACTACCGTACCAGTAGGCAACTGCCCGGAGATAAAGCCATTGCTTCTATCTAGTAAATCATTTAACACTTTGCTTCCGCGCGTTAAGTAACAACGCGCCGACGTTGAACGACCATAACCCCTCACACTCGCCATGACCACAAGGAGACCACTCCGACTCGCGCCGTATACAAAGGATATCGATCTTTGAGGGCTAAACCATCATGAGCGGTTCTACCACCACACGAACAAGAGCCTATAACCACCCAGTAAACTGCCTTGCATCTACTGTAATCCGACGTTTCTCGAACGCCTCGTGGTATTGGTAACATAGGCCATTATGACAGGACCCGTATTGAGAGGTTTGTCTCTCACGTGGACAAACACGCGGATGTGACCGAATTGTTGATATGAACTTGCTACCCGGGGACAGCACGGCGCTGAGTATCATTTTATAATTTCTATCGCAACAGCAGTCACTGTTTCTATCAGGTTGACCGATCGACCACATGCTTGACGCAGACAGTGGTTCTCACGCAATGCAATCAAAATTGCATCCTTTAGGGTCGTCGGGTTTTGGCGGAAGACTTCATTCTCAGGAGAACCATACGAGAGCCATCCATAAACAAGGTGACTATCACTGTCTCTGGCTGTGGTTCACTTGCCATACTGGCACGAAGCTCACGGAGCTCTGTACATAGTCGAACAATGTGCTGTTGTCGAAACGCCACATTTGGTGGAAGAAATCCGATTCCATGTCATTTTTCAAATCCAGTCATGACATTTTTCAAATCCAGTCATGTGCCAAATTAACCAGCGCGGTTGACTTCCTACGCCATCGCCCAATCCTCCGTACGGCTATCCAAATGAGACATAGCAAACTCCACTTCACTATGGTCATCACAAATTCGAGCCATCGTGATAGCGATGTCCATTTCTCGCAACCAGAACATAAGATTTTCATCATCGTTCCTTGAATGCTTTTTTTGATCTTGATTTTCACGGGACGTTCCATGTGCAACGACGATGTCACCACCACTTGTGGAGAAGGTGACGGAACCGGCGTCGGTTTGCTCTGCGGTAGAAACTCTAATTATCATTTTTCATACGCAGCGAAACTCGCTAAGTGTTGAGTCATTGTTTCTTGATCCAAATGCGAATAAAGCTCGCGACTTCATTACACACTCCCACGAAGTAGTCGGCGCTGGAATGACTACTTGCGCTACCAAGTGTAACGGGAATCACGCGTCTATGTACATACACTTTCTGAGGAAGGCTTAGGTCAGATGGCTCGCCTAAACGCGTGTTGCTCGCTTCCAGCGCGCTGTTGACTTTCGTGGAGAGGAGGATTGGTTGAGTGACAATCATCATTATAGCCGATGAGCTTTTGACCTCTTTAACCTGATAAGTACTTCCGGTTCTGATACGACAGAACTAAAAGGGGATATGCAACTACACATGGTGTACAACTAATGTTAAACACACAATGTATGAGATCCACACAACATGTGTATTGAAGCCTGGTCCTCAAGCTAGATCTCAATGGTAGTCAGCGTTATATGCTGAGTGCACAACGCGTTGACTAAGAATACACAAAAGACGATATTTATACCAGAGGCAAAAGAAACACACGCTAATATGTATCAATTGAAGGCTCAAACAAGTTTTGCAAGCTTGTCTACCATCCACGGTCTGCACGACTCAGCGCATCTACGCTACATCTGACTGTTTGTGGTCATTGCAAATAAGCATAAATCTTAAGTCTAAACTTCCCTAAGAGCATGCGAAAATATTTTTTGCCATACATCACGATCCTGCTTTTCATGTCAGATGTAAAGCGTTGAGTCAAGAGGGAATTAATATGATGAGAAACGACACCCCTTTTTAGGACTCGTGTAAGCCATGTCAAGCACGTGCTGTAGGGTTTTATTCATAACACTCTAACCCGACTCTACCCGGCCCGAGGATTGAACCCTGGACCTCCCGGAGGGAGTAGAGCTCACACCATACGCTGTAGTCGAGTCACTAAACGTTTTGAGTAGCGATAACCAAGCGAGATCACATTACTAAAAAAGCGCATTAAAAATCTGACCCATTTCAATATTAGGCACACACCGAGACCCTTGGACTAAATCAACGTTCCGCTAAAAAATTGCTCATTTAGAGCCAGCCATGGGATGTTTTTCTTCTCTGGCACAGCATGGCGAGCAAAAGGCGACCTACTTCATGCGGAATGGAGTGGGCACATTAGAATTTGTAATGAGGATCTGGATTATTGAAATGAATACGCTTACATCAAAAGCTTATGGGAGTTTGAAAAATACTTTGGCAAGTCTGGTCTGGCGCTGTTTCTGCTGACCACCCCTTGGTCTTTGTCTTATCCAGAAAAGCGACAGAGCTGCCTGGACCAGCGTCGTTCTAATTTGTGAGGCCCGACTTTGGTACAAATTCAAGATTTGTCCGGTTGCGTCAGCGACAGGCTGATAGAAATGGGCGATCTGGTAGCAGAACGGACCTCGATATCCCAAGTGTGCGTTGGATTCTGCAAATAAAAGCATTGAATAAAGTTCTAGTTGGACATTTGCTTCACCAAACCTGGCTTCCCAAGCTGTTTGCCATGTGAGACGACGTTTTTCCGCACCTGGTGCGCAGATTGCCGTCAATATTTTTGGACCTTCTGTCAGCATTTAGCACCCAACAATGCGTTCTCACGAAGCGATCTACCAAACAAAAGCGGATTTAGGAGGAGTGGGGTTACAAGAGATGTAAGAGTGCGCTCGTGGAGCGACTTTTGAGCGCTTGTTTTTCTTTTTGTTTGAGCAGAAGGCCGGCGAGCAGAGGCGTGCACAGGCTCCACCCCAGTGCAGTTAACAACATCAGATAGATTAGATCATTGATCGTGGTCGAATGTGCAAACGAGATAAAAACTTTTACGCTTGCAGACGGGCAACCCGGGCTCCCTTAGCCAGGTCCGGTCCAATGGTGACGATCCGGACGTTCTCGTGAATTTCTGTGGCGAAATGACCGACCATTTTGCCTTAGAGAATGCTTACTTCATGCACAGGAGGGCGAAGAGTGCTTCTTCCTCAGTGGATAGCCGGCCGCATGTCTCCGTGCGAGGACGGAGGTGTCGGTTCGGATCTGGGAGATTTTCTATGACCGAACCCCTTGACCCTGAAAGAGAAAGGCTTGAAGGTCGTAGACTTCAAAGACTGCGACTTTCTCAAAGACTTGCTGAAACACATAACGGTGTTTAAGAAAGAGGATTATCGATGCGACTATTCTTACAGGAACTGGAACTGCAAGATGCGAGGAGCGAAGTGAAAGTCCACGCGTAGTATATGCTGGCTTAACGTTTTTCAAAGACATAATAAGTGTGAAGCTTAGTGTTGTGTACATCGCTGTGGGGTAAGGGTTTTTTAGTGCACTATTATGTACGTACACATTACACAATTGTGCAGTTGTACAAGAACACTATATTCCTTTGTGTGGTCCTGAAAATTCTGAAGTATGAGAATGACGTGACCCCATAAAAGAGATCCGTGAGACAGTGGACTGTCAGCAAAAATTTGTTTGTATTTAAGAAAAACAAAACAGCTAGAACTTGAAAGAGCTATACAGACTTGGTCCTCAGAATGTGCCACTCTGAAATAAAGAACAACTTAGGCTCGGTTCCGCTGCGCACGAGCCCAACCTCTGTATGTATACGCGGACCCATCAAGTCAAACTTTACCTCGCGCAAGATGCGCATTTCCCTTAAAAGAAAATTCAATTAAATTCATTTATTTATATAAATGAGTGAAATATCTTAGTATTTATCACAAGTGTCAAGTTGTAGCGGAAAGTTTGGAGCAGCAGCTCACTCTGAAGAATTCTTATGTTAGAATAGGACAAATCACATGGTTTGTTGACAATGTATAGATGAGCGTTTTTGAAATAATGTTTCAAGATACTGATTGACACCATTCTCACAGTTCTCATGTGTGTTCCCTTTCACAAACAGCATGCTTTGTACAGAATGGCTATATACTACTGATCAAACAGCACTTCCGAAGGCAGAGAGTCAAGATACTACCACATCAACTTTATAAACAGCTTGAACTATCCTATTTGCAGTTCGATCATTGTCTAATTGAATTAGTAGCTCAGAAAAAATATGTCCAGCTGAATTTCTCGTCGGGGTGCAAAAAAGTGGAGGTTTTTTATTAAGTGAGCACGATTACGAACCTGCACAAAGAAAATACTAATTATTGTACAAAGTTCCGGCTAAAAGTTGGAGCGTCGAGTCGTAAACAACGAACGGCTCAAGAATGTAATAATTCAATTAAAAGAGTCATGATGGAAAATTTAACTTGAAGCTTAAAACTGAGGTCGAATGCAGATTTCAAGCCTGCTGACAAAGACTTTCTTATCAAATTACATTAGCGACATTCATAGACATATTAACTACTGGCTGCTGCTCAAAGACATACAGATTTATCAACTTGGTTGACGAACCCCAAAACAATGACTATTAAGCTTAATTTTAGGAGTTAGTCGACTGCCCTTCCCCTAGCAAATGCAACAGTACCGTACCTAGACCATAATCGAAAAAACGCAAGCCTTCACCTACGACTGCGACGAGGTCTATGAGCCCAATTGTCCCACAAACTGTGCCCGAGGAAGTGGTCACTATGACACCGCGTGGGGATAATAATACGTATTTTATGGAAGGGTTAAACACTCCACCAGGTTCACACGGCAAGTCAAGCTCAGTGCACTTTGCAGACCCTGACGAAGCTTCCTATCTTTCACATTCGTCCAACATTTTGTCGCCTCGCTTTGGTGTGCATTCCAGTGATGTAGAGCTTACAACACCCGAGACACCCGAGGAAGAACCGATGGAAGCTGGCAGTCAAACTGGCTTTTCATTACCTGCGCTTCAGAATAAAAATGGCGGTACCAAGAAGTATCAGCAGTATGTACATCGTCAACTACAGCAGCCACCACTATCGCCTCACACACGTAGCGCAGGAAAGGTAAGTCGTGTGAACAATATGCCACCTAAGCGCAGTCAAACTTACGTACAGCAGCTGTCTAAGGAGTCAGCTAGAGAACTGGCCAAGACGGCCCTCAACATTCGGTCAACAATAGTCGGAGACTTTACTTTTGAAACCCCACACGACGTCGTGGGCAGTAAATTACGAGAGAGCATTCGTCGTGTCACTGCTTTCTCCAAACGAGAGGCTCCACTTGACACAGAGCTAAATACAGCTGTACGAGTCGCTCATCATCTTCGTAAGTGCGAATTAAGACTCGATCCTGATACGATTACATGGTCAAGAGGCAACAAGACGCTCGGTATGCTAGTGACAGACGATGTGGTGGGCGCTGAGATTATTGCGAAAAAGAGTGCCGGCTCATTTCGTGTACACTATTTTCAAAAAGGTCGTGGTACCGGAGCTAAGGCTCTTTTGCGTACACCCAGGTTTATCGATTTCCATTGTCTTGAGACTGACGTTGTGGAAAGTTGGGTTGGTGCCATTCAAGAGCTTGTAAGATGGCAAGCTCGTGCTCCGCCTATATCCGAACAGCGGCTATTGAAGGTGGTAGTGAACCCACACTCTGGTAAACGTCAGGCACGTCGAATTTGGGAAGAAAAAGTGAAGCCTTTTCTTGATTTGGGTAATTTTAAATACGTGGTGGAAGAAACGACTCATTCTGGTCATGGCACTGAAATGGGTAAGAGTTACTCATCCGACGATGGATTTGAAGCACTTGTGTTTATTGGCGGGGACGGTACACTGTGTGAGTTTATGAATGGATTGTTGACCCGCCCAGAGCACGAGTGGCGTGAAATTGTGGCTTCGACGCCAATTTCACTTATTTCGGCTGGCACGCAAAATGCTTTTGGTACAGGAGCGGGTATTCCTACGGTGAATGCAGCTTTATACTGCATTTTGAAGCGTAAAATGCGCCCACTCGATGTCGTGACGGCTGTGTCGGCTGCCAATCCAGATGTAGTGCATTACAGCTACTGCGGCCTAGGGTGGGGAGTGGCAGGCGACATTGCTGCCGAGTCGGAACGTTATCGTTGGATGGGTACATTTCGATATGCATTTCTTAAAGTAAAGCGCACAGTGATTTTGCCAAAACAACACACTGGTCGTGTTCGGTACGTACTTACGGAACCTCAACCACCGCTTATACGATACGACGACTATCCAGATGCCGGTGCAATGGATCAATTTGAAGTGGAAGAAGGAACAGTGTATGAAATGGATCGCTTGAGCCAGCACCGCAAGTCGTGGGGTGGCATTGCTGGCGGTATCTCAAGCCCTGCAAGCCACAAACGTTATCCCGAATTTTTATGGAAGGAGGACTCTAACAGCTACGTTGTGGTCGGTGTTGTTAACATCTCCCCTGATGGCGCCTTCTCGCACCCGTCAGATGGTAATCTTGACCTTATTCTCACTCGTAAGGGCGGTTTGTTGGCCTCAGCGAAGCTCTTTGGGCTGTATGTGATGGGCAAGGAACTCAAGAGCCCACTTATTTCTTATCTTAAGATTAAAGCAGTGGAAATTGTACCGGACCAACCCGACGATTGCATGAACATTGATGGCGAAGTGCTAAAAGGTGGCCCCTGGCGTATGGAAGTGGTACCAAGTCTCTTTAAAGTGCTGTCCGAAAAGTAAGACTTCCAATGCGCATGAGATTTGCAAGTTGGCGACGCTCGATAGTTTTCTTCTTTTCCAATTTGCACGTCTAGGTTGTAAGTACTTTAATCTGTTGCATTCGTTGTAGTCATGACCTTTCGCCATCGCTCGATAGCAGCATGTTCAGTCTTTTTATCTTATATGAAACATTTTGCCTTATGCTTACGATCGCGGTGTCGCGTCCTAATTAGTGTCGTCGTCTTGATCGCCAGTAAAGGAGCTGGAGTATTTGACAATAGCGCGACCGATGGCGCCAATCCACTCATCCTTTTGCTTCTCATTCTCCGCGTACATGTAAAACGTCGAGTCGGGCGTCGCAACTTCAAAGCAAAAACGCTTATTGGTCTTTTCTTCAGCTGATTTAACCGTAAGACAGTCTGCTAGGTCGATGAGCCCATGCGCAGGCTCACCTTTCGCCCGACAGAAGTAAAGCTTGTTACCCTTAAGCACAAAATAGCGTTTGCGCCACTCTTTTAGCCACACGCTACGCTTTGTTAATTCGCCCTCGAAATCTGGCTCCGACAGATCGCAGTGAGAGTAATCGCCTTCCATCTGCAGCTGTAGCTGCTGGAATGTCAAATACTTCTTTTCTCATGTCGATGTGCTTTACATCTATGTGTGTAGGATGACATAGGCGCCAATAATTGTGCATTTTTTGTATCACATATACTACATACGAGAAGTTTATTGTATCTGATCACGGCTTTACACTATTGCCATTATTGTTCCTCGAACGTAAAACCAACATAGGTATGGAAGGTACTATGATGGAGCGTCACAACACAATATGAAAGACGAGTGGGACATAGCCTCACACTATGCAGTACATAAGAAATTGTTACTGTACATAGTAGAACAGATATATTCAGTACCACTCTTGATCAAGTTCATTATAAATACATGCAATATTGAAAACGCCTCCTAGATGGGGCATATGAACCCATATGAAATTGCGGACTCATAGAGCCAAGCATCCTCTGTGTGAGATACACGGTGACCCTGTCGCACGTGGTAACCTGAGTCCCGAAAAGACTATATCATCTGTAAACATCGAACACGAGTTATTTGACTATCTGTTCTGGGGAGTGTATACGTGCTAAATGAGCTCATACCTTCGGTCGATCCCGAGGGAATCATTGGCGGCCCAAAAATCGAAGCGGTTCGTCTAGATAGGACCACAAATACGAGGATGCGCTGGCGAAACTTTCCAAAAACACCTTAATGAGGCGTTAATGGGAGCACAATTTACTCCAACCGTGATGCTCCTTTAGTTGAGCATTCAGCTGTTTGAGGGTAGAAAAAGTGAAAACGTTCTCTTTGACAAAAGATACTGAAATGAAACTGAACCATCCAGTTCTAAACAAGGCATTAGCCAGTTGTCTTCTCGGTCTCTACGCCATCAGGCAGCTTCCAAGAACGGGTACTTAAGTCATGTACCACTAGCATTCTCAAGATATGCAATACTAAAGCGCAGACGTCACGGATGTTCCAATGTATAGCCACGAACATTATTGCTCGACGCTCCACGATGGAGGGAAGTCAGCTGTATGCTGAGGCGCTGAGAGCGATATCGTCACTGTTCGCGTAGTGACGGGGACGCGTGTCACGGTTCCGAAGGTCATTGTGGACCTCGGAGTCAAGTTTCTTGACTTTGATAGCGTGGAACGCTGTCTAGTCTTA